TGCTTAGGACTAAGCATTTAGCTCAAATTTTATATTTGTAACACTTTTTCTTTATTATTTGGTGTTGTATTTTTTGATGACGTATAAGTTTTTAGAATTGTATTTATTAGTTCTGATCATTTCTCTGCCAATAGCCAAAACTCCATCTACATTTCGGGTCATTGCACGTCATGCAGCTGATGCTAATGTGATTTGTCATTGCAAAATAATAACTGCCTGCACCTCTTGTTGTTATGAAAACTGTCATATGATTGTTTGAAAATATTGTTGAGTGTTATAATTGTAACTGTTTGTCTTGAAGTAACTAATGCAAACTGCACTGCAATTGGTTGTGCTGTACTGCAGTGTGTTTATACCTTATTTCATTGCTTTAGCTTCCCTGCTTTCCCATACGTGCTGCTGGAGTTCATTTTGATACTTGTGATATCATGACTTCAAGTCTCAAATGAATTCTTCAGTCAGATTGCGTGTATAGGGTACAATTAGATGTGTGGAAGCATTAAATAAAACTGTATTGATCTGACAATCTTGGCTGTTCACGTGGGAAAATTGTAATGTTGGCCTACAAATATATTTCTCCAGTGTTATTTCTACTAATTAGTTCAATGTGCAGAGGTTACAGTGCACTAATGCTAACCATTAAATTACAATTCACTGTTACACAAACCTGAAAATGTTAAAGAAAATTGCTTTGTAAAAATAATTTATGAAATCTGATAAATTGTTCCTTTTTTTCTTTGCTTTTTGCTTTTATTCTTTTTTCCTACTGCTTCCTCTGAAGTCTCCTACCAAATGGTTTTGGAAACTGGTTCCTGTAAGTTTGCCCAACTGCTTCACTTTGATCAAATAGCTTATTTTGGGAATGGCTTTGTCCATGTCATGCTGGTCTAATCATTCATTTCATTTATCTCTACAAGATAACTTTATAAGAGGTTGCTCTGCAAAGATGTGCAAAATACAGAAGCTTATTTTGCAAGGTAATCTGTGCAAAACAAATGTAAGAGATGACTGCTTGAAAAACAATTCCTTATCCAGCATCAAGGTCTCTGTGGGTTTGTATGAGGCAGTGCTACCTGTTATTAACTAATGTCAAATGATCAGGGTTTTTTGCGAACTACTTTTTCATAAGCTTTCAGTAAACATATGCTATTTGATACTGACTGTATCTTGATACCGACTGACTCTCTTTTAAAAAGAGACTTGCAGAAATAGATTTGATTTCTTGATGCTACATGGAATCTGAAATTTTCAGATTTGTTTTAACAATATGCAGTCATTACACCATTTGCCTAAAATTCCCTAATTTTTCAGCTGATTTAAGACTGTTGTTAATCTCTCCCCACACAAAGTAACTAAAGCAGTCTACTTTTAATGAGAGTATAATTTCTCTAAATGCAAGAAAAAAAGTAAATGTTCAGGTCTCCAATAATAATAAAGTTTGTTTTCTCTGTGCTGTGTCACCTTGGGACTGTCATTACTTTCCTCTGTCATGTAGTAACTCACCCTGAGATGCATTCAGGTTGTTTATTCTGCAGCAGGTTTGGCTGGGAACAAAATAGTCAGCTGTCTAGGTACCTGCGGAATTGCAGACTTCTGGTCTGAATTTCAAAGAACTTATTCTGATCTATCTTTGACCTAAGGATTACCAAATAACTGATCTAGCAGTCCCTCAGATATTTGTTGTCATAACTAGTAAATGTTTGTTCATACATTGTAAAGAGAATTAAAAACAATAGGGCAGTTGCATGTAGGCAACAACAGAAATTACTTGGTGTCTGGAAAACCACTCTGGCAAGTACTATCTTAAGCAGACTAATCAGTATTCAAATTCACAGCAGTTTATGCTGTATGGGCAATTTCTCTATAATGCTATCTATTACAATTGTCTCTCTCACACACACGCACACACTGCTCTTCACAGTATAGTCCTTAAATTTTGTTTTGGAATTAGGATAACATAATTAAATGGAGGTAATAATGAAAAAAAAATGGACTGTGATCAGAAATTTAAGCACATTTTGTTTTTGTCTCATTTCTGCAAAATAAGGTGGCTACTTCAAAGCCGTTTCAGAATGTTTTTGTCTGATTTTTGACTAAGGTATTAGTGTACTAATGATTCTCTTCCATTGCATAAAAATTATATTCAAATATAAAATAATCAATCTATTGAAAAGCTAACTCCAACTTGCTTCCCAGTTGTCCATAAATAACTTGAACTAATGGTATTTATGTTACTTTGTGCTTGTTAATAGAGACACAGCTGAAAACTGAAGTCCTACTGATAATGTAGTAGAAAGGCAGTAGCTCAAGCTGCTCTAACAGTTGAGTCTTCTGAACTCTTTCCTTTATACAAAGCAAGTGTTTCATAGTGAGACAGATATTCCTGAGCACGCAGGCAGCTGAAGACTTACTCTGAGAAGTAACTTCATAACATGTTATCTACTATATGGTAAATGCATAAGAGCGTTCATTATTAATGACTAACTCAGAATACACATGAGCACTTATGACAGCGTAGCTGGTGTGCTTTTGGTTCATCTTTAGCTGACCTTGTTTATAGGCAAATGTCTCAACTATACCTAGACTTGTTTACAAGTGGAATAAGCTCAAAGATGTTAAATCAGGCAGGTTTAGGATCGCAGAAATAAGATGACTATTAGCATTTATGTTTAAATTAGCACTAGAGCTTTATAATAAATGTAGAGGTTCATCTTTTGCATTATTGCATGCATATTTAGTAGCAAACACTGCAACTGATGAGAACAGTTTCTTCAAAGGGAAGTTTATTAAAAATGCAGTTCAATTACCAGCGTCTGTTATTTTTCAGTATAATTTCTTTTATCTTTTCAACCAAATTGGAACACGATGCCTGTTATACCCTAATGAACCTAGCGTATCAGGTTATGTAAGTTTATTTTTCCTGAAGTAGCGTGCCTGGCGTATTCTCTACAATGAAGTGAGTCCTCTTTTTCTAGGTCCACTTTAATGATATGACAACAGTTTCCAGCATCTGTGGGCACTGTTCATAAAGCCAGTGAAGGCATTGAAGTATCAGTAGACTTTTTCACAGGATTTACAGTGCAAGACCACTATATTACAGATTTCAAATATTTTTGAACAGTCCCTTAAAAAGATGCTATTTAAAAGACTATATAAATTACACAGAGCTTGTTGCACCATAATGTTAGAGTCCACCTGTATCTTTTTGTCATTATTTCATAACTAAATTCTATTATTTCATTGACTGAATTTCAGTTATTTTGAGGAGGAAGTACATGGACATATTAACATGGTATTTGAAACTTACAGGGTTTTTGTCATAGTTGGTCGTTGCATTGCCACGAAGTGCAAAAGAAGAAACTTTCACTGCAAGCATAATTGGCCTATTTCAATAGAAATAGTAAGGAGTATTACTAACATGGAGGAAAGAATGCACGAAACACTAACGTGGTTTTGATTGGTCTTACTGAATATTTTCCATAGCATGCAAAAATGGCATTTTCATTGTTATACAGCATACTTGACACACAAATACCAGTACATTTCAAGTATGAAATAAAGACTAACTCCCAGGAGCTTTTTAAGTATTAATTGGTTAAAGTGTGAGTTCTCTGAGCCAAATACAAGCCCTTAATTTTTCTAGAACTGATGTGTCTGCTGTTGCCAGGTTAGACTCGTACTTCTTGGGCCAGTTAGAGGACACTGACATTCACTAAAGATAATCCCATGTGATCCTTGACAGAAATCCAGTGACAGTAAGTATAGCCTTCAGGGTTACGCTGTGGTTCCACAGACATTTTTGGCAGCAAAGCTAGCTTCAACATTTCCCGCCCCACCCATAAAACCTCCAGCCCTGCCCACTCGTTCCCTGCGAAAACAAAGGAGAGAGATGTTGCAGCTGGATCAATGGTCTCTACCATGGCCCCGTAAGCCACTCCAGCACAGCGAAAAGGTGGAGAGTAGGAGATAGCAACTGTCAGCTTCAGCTTTCCTGGGAAGAGTAACATCCATAAAGACTTCTCAGAGTCCCTACAGGGACACTTCCAGTTTAGTGTGCACAGATGAATGAAAATAGCGTAAAATTAACTTGGAAACACTCTTGGCATCTTAAGTAGTTCTGTGGTATGAATAGAAAAGTAATCCTTCAGTACTGTTTTAAGAATAAGGCTTAGTATATAATACTAACAAATAAAAATCTGTATCACTTTCTTACACTCCCATTTCCCAGGAAGAATTGAAAAGAAAGTAGTAATGATGAATACCATGGGTTTTTCTGAAGTAAGCTCCCCTCACCTCCTCCCC